CAAGGCACCCCTGAAGAAGCCTGAAGGCACCCTGGTTGAGAAAGACTGATATACCTGCATTGCTTTACAAAGTCCTTTGTTTACATGCATACAAAGCTATAAATGTACTCATCTGGCGTGTGGCGTTTGAAATTCCCATGTGAATAAGCCCTAAAACACATTGCCATGATTCCATACTTTTGTTTTTGGTGAGAATAAAGACATTTACTTTTGGTTTACTTTTTTACTCTGCATATACCGTACTAGAGTGCTCCGATTCATGTGTCTTGAATACAGCCACACTGCATATGATGAACACAGGTAAAGGGGGGGGGGGGGGGTGATTACAAGTAAACATCGGAGAAATCACATGACTTCCAGAATAGTATGAAAGGGAGGGGGCAGGAAGCAGACACAGGCTGACAGATACAGATTCACAAAAAGATACACAGAACAGCAGAGAGAGACACGCAAGGCACAAACACACATATATACCTACAAACGCACATATTTAACCACACATACATATGGATTGTGCACATAACCACAAAAGATGACAACAGCGAAAAATAGAGCAACAGACCGGGCACACTGACACCATTCACTGCCTCATATGTCCATGTGGCTATGTGTTCAGCATTCTTACAGTGCTGGGGTCTTGGGTTCAATCCACAAGCAGAAGTATTTAGAGTTTGGAGGGGAACTTATAGAAATTCTGGCAGAGGAAACATGACTGGTTGTAACATATTTTATACACTTCTGTATGACCTAAAGTATGTGCAGGTGCCACGGCTACACCAGAACATACAATGTTGCTGTTTGTGCAACATTTTGCACTATTTGTTCAGTTTTTGTGCCACTAACTTCAAATGTGCATTTCTGTACACAAACTGCACCAATCCTGAACTTGTGAAATTCCTTGTGACTATTATTATAACAGTATAATTAACCACTTGCCCTTCAGAGGATTTACCTCCCTTCCTGACCAGGCCATATTTTCCGTTATGGCACTGTGTTACTTTAACTGACAATTGCGCAGTCATGCAACACTGCACCCAAATGAAATTTACGTCCTTTTTTCCCCACAAATAGAGCTTTCTTTTGGTGATATTTGATCACTTGTGCATTTTTTGACCGACAATTTTGAAAAAAAAACTATATTTTTGACTTTTTGCTATTAAATAGGCCCAGTAAAAAAAAATAAAATTCCATCATAAATTTACGGCAAAATGTATTCTGCTCCATATTTTTGCTAAAAGAAAATCCCAATACATGTAAATTAATTGGTTTAGGTGAAAGTTATAGCATTTACAAATGGCAGTATATATACTTGGATTTGTTTTTTTTTTTACTAGTAATGGCAGAGATCTATAGCGGGACTGAGGTGGGCGTTCTGACACCGGGGGGGAACTGACTTGGTGTCACTGACATCCCCAATGACAATGATACAGAGATCAAAGCTAATTATTATTATTATTATTATACAGTATTTATAAAGCTCCAATAGTTCACTCAGCGCTGTACATTACAAAGGGGGACAGAACACGTGACAGAACAATACCAATACAATGCAAAACATGAGGGGATCGAGGGCCCTGCTCTTTGAGCTTACAATCTAGAAGATAAAAAAGCACTGACACTGTACTAATGGCACTGGGCAGGAAGGTGTTAACATGTGGGGCGATCAAAGGGTTAACTGTGTGCTGCTTTACTACATGGGCTGTGTGTGTTTCACTATAAGCACACTGCTTTGTATGGCAGTATTTCTGCTATAAGGCAGCGCGGAAGCGGTTAATATGACTGAAAACTGTCCTGCATAGATGTCTGTGTCCAGGACTGATTATCTGCAGGTAATTGCTGTCTGAGAGATTACATGCAAATTGCCGCAAATAGCTGCAGAAGCTGTCAGACTCCCATTGCTTTCAATGGGGCTTCCCACCTGCAGCTAATTGCAGGGAACCCTGCGGTGTCTCCCACAGGTCAGCATAAACCACTCCATTCATACTGTAAGTGTGAATGAGATCTTTCTTCTATGTATTGTCCATTTAGTATGTCCTTTGAAAAACCATATGACTGCAAAACCTTTTTGATGTTTGTGGCGTATATATAAATAAATGTATTTGTAATTAATACAAATTGTGAGCATTTATATATTTTAATAGTCCTGTTTTTTGTGCTTCTATATACTGTATATATAGACACACACATTGTATTAGGTTTTCCAGATCTAGCCCAAGCATTTCACTTTCTTTGGGGAAGTGTGGCAGCCATCTTGCCCATGAGTTCCACCCTCCTTGCAACCGCTGGTAGGTTGTGCATTCCACGCCTCTCCCAGAAGTGTGGCAGCCATCTTGCCCATGCGTTCTACCCTCCTCGCAACTGCTGGTAGGTCAAGTGACAGTCCCAATTGAGGCGACATCTGGTGTGTGCATTCCACACCTTTCCCAGAAGTGTGGCAGCCATCTTGCCCATGCGTTCCACCCTCCTCGCAACCTCTGGTTGGTCGAGTGACAGTGCCTGGAGCCGGAGTACTGATGAGCCTGTATCTTACAATACTTCTGTAAGTGGTTTTTATCCTTGTGCCCTAATAAACTGCTTTCAAAATGCACATCCCTGTTGTTAACACTTTCTTTGGAATAAATTATTATTATTATACAGGATTTATATAGCGCCAACAGTTTGCTCAGTGGTTTACAATATAAAATATCTTTTTATTCAAAGTTTTAAGTATTTCAATACAAAGACATGAAATAACAATTCTAAATGGTGAGCAAAACATGTCATAAGTGACACCCCTCAAACAGATAAGAGCGGCATACCATTCTCATGAAAAAACAGATGTAACAACATGTAATGAGTAGAAGATGTTGCCAACCTCACGGTATATGACAATCAGTGGTGATCAAATAGTTGCAGCAAGGTAAAAGATGGAAAGGTGAAGGAGAGGAAAGGAAGGAGGGGGGAAAAAAAAGGTGTGGGGGGGGGGAGGGGAGAGAGAAAAGGGATAACTGAGCAATCTGAGAAATGCTCAAAAAATTGATAGAAGTAAAAAGAAATAAGGCCAATCACTGGGAGACTGAGGCTCAAAAAGTGTGTGATTTGCTGTAGGCCTTCCAACATGTCCAGGTGGTGCGGACATTTTCGGGATTGAGGTTGTTTCCTGCAACCAATGTCATCATGGCTATTATCTCACTAAGTATCTGGGCCCATTACAATAAACTGGGGGAAGAGACAGATTTCTAGTGTCGGGAGATAGCAGTGCGAGTTGCCAGTAGGCAGTGCTTCAGAACACCCTTTTTGATCTTTGAGAATATGGCAGGGATCATGGACAGCAGAGCCACTGCGGAGGATGCCTGTATAAAAGAAATATACATCAAATTTGGGATTTAATTTTCTTTATTCAGTGGTACATATTTCTTCAAATATTTAAATATATTTCATAAAATGTTCCATCACTTTGGACTTATTGTTGAAGGTGAACATTAGTTTGACCCCATTAAGAAATAGAAAACTGAACAACCTTCTTAAAACAAAAAATGTGGAACAAAATTCTACTACTGTATGGTCATTTTGAGGGTAGAAGTGCCTGTATTGAATTCTAAGTTTAAAACAAGAATCAATAAAGCTGACCACACACGTTCTAGAGAATTTTGTCCCAGTGGCAGAACTACCAGGGTCGCAAAGGTCGCAGTTGCGACCGGGCCATAGGGTACCACCACTGTGGAGGAACCACAACAGGGTTCTGAGCTGTGTGTCTTGCTCACAAACAGCTCAGAGCCAGCACTGACAGTCCCCCCTCCTCACATGAAGGGGAGAGGAGAGAGAGAGCGCTCATCTGCTCCTCCTCCTCCCACCCCCTCTCCTCCCATTCTTCCCCGCCCACACGCCCCAGGGATGTGTGGATGGGAAGTTAGCCATCAGCCGCCAGCCAAAAAAAGAAAAAACTACTGACAGCCGATGCCTGTGCGTCCATCTTGGGGTGAGTAAACTCACCCTCCGTCCCCTGTCTCTGACTGAAATCTCCTCCCTTCTCTCTCCTGCCACCCAGTGAATACAATAATGTAAAGGGGTGCTCTGTGGACTCTGATGTAATGGGAGCCTTGGTGAGCAGAGGACCCCTTACATCAGAGTTCCCCTTTACACTAGAGTCCACAGTATTCCCCCTTACATCAGAACCCCCCCCCTTAAATCAGGGTTCCCAGAGCACACCTTATATCAGAGTTCCCATTTACATTAGAGTCCACAGAGCTGCCCCCTTAATGTGTAAGTGGAAACTCTGAGGACTGATGTAAGGGGGGCTGTGTGGACTCTGATGTAAGGGGGCTATAAGGACTCTGATATAAGGGGTGCTCAATGGACTCTGATGTGAGGGGCGCTCAATGGACTCTGATGTGAGGGGCTCTCTGTGGACACTGATGTAAGCGGGCTCCTTGGTCACTAATGTAAGGGGGGCTCTGCGGTCTCTGTTGTAAGGGAGAACTTTGCAAACTCTGATATAAGGGGGTCTCCGTGAACTCTGATGTAATGGGGGCTCTGGGAACCCTGATTACAGGGGAATGCTGGGAACTCTGATGTAAGTGAGGGTTCTGGTTATCAAAGATTCCCTTATATGAGAGTTCCCTTTTACATCAGAGTCTGCAGCATTCCCTTCATACATCTGGGTTCTCAGTGTTCCACCTTAAATTACAGTCCCCAGAGTTCTCCCTTACATTAGAGTCGACAGAGTCCCCCTTACAGTCTAAGTTCAGCTGTAAGGGAAGCTCTGCAGATTCAGATGTAAAGGGGAACTCTGTGGATTCAGATGTAAAGGGGAACTCTGTAGACCCTGATGTAAGGGGGGACTCTTGTGATTAAATCCATATGATTAGAAATGTTACTTAATCACAACTAGAGATCAGCGAATTATTTAAAAATTCGATTCGACTGATTCGGCGAATTCGTGAAAAAATTTCGATTCGAGTCGAATATATTCGCTGCGAATTTAACTTATAAAAGGGTGTTTTCTAGGCTTCAGAGAGCCTTTATATTAGTGCAGAACACTGTACCTTTAATTTAAATGCCCTTGGAGTCTGCTGGGGAAGAGAAATAATACTGTCAGTCAGTATGACATGCAGATGAGTGCCGTCGATCTTAGAATCACCGCACACTTCACTCATTTGGGCAGTCACGGGGCCAAAACCAGAGTGTGGAGCCACAGTGTGGCGGTGGAGGCAGCAGCAATGGGAGGCCATACAGCACCCTATGACAAAATGGAACACACCAGCAGTGTGAGGAGACCTGAAAGTGGCACATGGCAGAGTGTGGCGATGGAGACAGCAGCAATGGGAGGCCGTACAGGGACCCATGAGACACTCTGGACCTGGCAGCAGCATGAGGAGGCGGTACAGGGGCCCATGACAGATTACGGGCCTGGCAGCAGCATGAGGAGTTGGTACGGGGGCCCATGGCAGATTACGGGCCTGGCAGCAGCAATGGGAGGCCGTACAGGGACCCATGACACACTCTGGACCTGGCAGCAGCATGAGGAGGCGGTACAGGGGCCCATGACAGATTACGGGCCTGGCAGCAGCATGAGGAGTCGGTACGGGGGCCCATGACACACTCTGGACCTGGCAGCAGCATGAGGAGGCGGTACAGGGGCGCATGACAGATTACGAGCCTGGCAGCAGCAACTTGGACAGGAGGACGTTCAGCTTCTGCACCGTCGGGTGCGTGCTCGCAAACTGTTGTCTCTTGGAAACGGATTCCAAGAAAGACTGCTGACGGAATCCGTGAAGAGGAGTAGCAGGAGAAGGAGCATCTGAACGAGCGGAATATGCCAACAAACGACAACAGGGGCCCATGACAGATTACGGGCCTGGCAGCAGCATGAGGAGTCGGTACGGGGGCCCATGGCAGATTACGGGCCTGGCAGCAGCAATGGGAGGCCCGTAATCTGCCAGCACCCTATGACAAAAAATGGAACACACCAGCAGTGTGTGAGGAGACCTGAAAGTGGCACATGGCAGAGTGTGGCGATGGAGACAGCAGCAATGGGAGGCCGTACAGGGACCCATGAGAGACTCTGGACCTGGCAGCAGCATGAGGAGGCGGTACTGGGGCCCATGGCAGATTAGGGGCCTGGCAGCAGCAATGGGAGGCCCGTAATCTGCCAGCACCCTATGACAAAAAATGGAACACACCAGCAGTGTGAGGAGACCTGAAAGTGGCACATGGCAGAGTGTGGCGATGGAGACAGCAGCAATGGGAGGGTTCAGGGACCCATGAGACACTGTGGACCTGGCAGCAGCATGAGGAGGCGGTACAGGGGCCCATGGCAGATTAGGGGCCTGGCAGCAGCAATGGGAGGCCCGTAATCTGCCAGCACCCTATGACAAAAAATGGAACACCCAGCAGTGGGGAGGAGAACCTGAAAGTGGCACATGGCAGAGTGCCACGATGGAGACGCTGCATAGGCCGTGACAGGCATGTAGTCCCAACCATGGGCACCCTGGGAGGCGGTACAGCTTGACTTTCTGGCAGATTAGGGGCCTGACAGCATGGGGGCCCCGTTTTTGGCACTTCCTCGGGCGGCTTTGACGAAAAATTGCCACACACCGCCGAGTGGGAAACTTTGGCCCCGCTACTCCTCACTGGCTGATGGGAGGCTACTTCCTCCGTGCACCCATGGCAAACTACTGGGCCGTGGTGGTGAGGCTGCAGTGGAGTGGTGCTCATCCGTGGCCAGAGTTTGCCTCCACCACACTGCTGGACCCTGCTGCCTGCTGGCAGCAGCATGGGAGGCCGTACAGGGACCCATGACACACTCTGGACCTGGCAGCAGCATGAGGAGGCGGTACAGGGGCCCATGGCAGATTAGGGGGCCTGGCAGCAGCAATGGGAGGCCCGTAATCTGCCAGCACCCTATGACAAAAAAATGGAACACACCAGCAGTGTGAGGATCTGAGGCAGACCTGAAAGTGGCACCATGGCATGAGACACTGTGGACCTGGCAGCAGCATGAGGAGGCGGTACAGGGGCCCATGGCAGATGGGGCCTGGCAGCAGCATGGGAGGCCCGTAATCTGCCAGCACCCTATGACAAAAAATGGAACACACCAGCAGTGTGAGGAGACCTGAAAGTGGCACATGGCAGAGACACTGTGGACCTGGCAGCAGCATGAGGAGGCGGTACAGGGGCCCATGGCAGATTAGGGGCAACCTGGCAGCAGCTATGGGAGGCCCGTAATCTGCCAGCACCCTATGACAAAAAATGGAACACACCAGCAGTGTGTGAGGAGACCTGAAAGTGGCACATGGCATGGCAGAGTGTGGCGATGGAGACAGCAGCAATGGGAGGCCGTACAGGGACCCATGAGAGACTCTGGACCTGGCAGCAGCATGAGGAGGCGGTACAGGGGCCCATGGCAGATTAGGGGGCCTGGCAGCAGCAATATGGGAGGCCCGTAATCTGCCAGCACCCTATGACAAAAAATGGAACACACCAGCAGTGTGAGGAGACCTGAAAGTGGCACATGGCAGAGTGTGGCGATGGAGACAGCAGCACATGGGAGGCCGTACTGGACAGCAGCATGAGGAGGCGGTACAGGGGCCCATGGCAGATTAGGGGCCTGGCAGCAGCTATGGGAGGCCCGTAATCTGCCAGCACCCTATGACAAAAATGGAACACACCAGCAGTGTGTGAGGAGACCTGAAAGTGGCACATGGCAGAGTGTGGCGATGGAGACAGCAGCAATGGAGGCCGTACAGGGACCCCATGAGACACTCTGGACCTGGCAGCAGCATGAGGAGGCGGGTACAGGGGGCCCATGGCAGATTAGGGGCCTGGCAGCAGCAATGGGAGGCCCGTAATCTGCCAGCACCCTATGACAAAAAATGGAACACACCAGCAGTGTGAGGAGAGACCTGAAAGTGGCACATGGCAGTGTGTGGCGATGGAGACAGCAACAGGGCACCGTACATGGGGACCCATGACCCAGACACTCTGGACCTGGCAGCAGCATGAGGAGGCGGTACAGGGGCCCATGGCAGATTAGGGGCCTGGCAGCAGCAGCCCACACCCCCCCCCGTAATCTGCCAGCACCCTATGACAAAAAATGGAACACACCAGCAGTGTGAGGAGACCTGAAAGTGGCACCCCCAGTGTGGCGATGGAGACAGCCCAATGGGAGGCCGTGAACACCCTGGCACCCCCCCAGGGCCACAGCCCTGTGGACCTTTGGCAGCAGCATGAGGAGGCGGCGACAGGGGCCCATGGCAGATTAGGGACTGGCAGCAGCATGAGGAAACTATGGGGGCCCGTAATCTGCTGGCAGCAGCACCCGTATGCCACACCCAAATGGAACACACACACACCAGCAGTGTGAGGAGACCTGAAAGTGGCACATGGCATGAGTGTGGCGATGGAGGCAGCAGCAATGGGAGGCCGTACAGGGACCCATGAGAGACTCTGGACCTGGCAGCAGCATATGAGGGCGGTGCAGGGGCCCATGGCAGATTAGGGGCCTGGCAGCAGCTATGGGGAGGCCCGTAATCTGCCATGCAGACCTATGACAAAAAATGGAACACACCAGCAATGGGAGGACGTGAAAGTGGCACAGGACCCATGAGACACTGTGGACCTGGCAGCAGCATGAGGAGGCGGTATAGGGGCCCATGGCAGATTAGGGGCCTGGCAGCAGCTATGGGAGGCCCGTAATCTGCCAGCACCCTATGACAAAAAATGGAACACACACCAGCAGTGTGAGGAGACCTGAAAGTGGCACATGGCATGGACACTGTGGGACCTGGCAGCCATGAGGAGGCGGTACAGGGGCCCATGGCCCAGATTAGGGGCCTGGCAGCAGCTATGGGAGGCCCGTAATCTGCCAGCACCCTATGACAAAAAATGGAACACACCAGCAGTGTGTGAGGAGACCTGAAAGTGGCACATGGCAGAGTGTGGCGATGGAGACAGCAGCAATGGGAGGCCGTACAGGGACCCATGAGAGACTCTGGACCTGGACCTGGCAGCAGCATGAGGAGGCGGTACAGGGGCCCATGGCAGATTAGGGGCCTGGCAGCAGCTATGGGAGGCCCGTAATCTGCCAGCACCCTATGACAAAAAATGAGGAACACACACATGGCAGCAGTGTGAGGAGACCTGAAAGTGGCACATGGCATGAGACACTGTGGACCTGGCAGCAGCATGAGGAGGCGGTACAGGGGCCCATGGCAGATTAGGGGCCTGGCAGCAGCTATGGGAGGCCCGTAATCTGCCAGCACCCTATGACAAAAAATGGAACACACCAGCAGTGTGAGGAGACCTGAAAGTGGCACATGGCATGAGACAGCTGTGGAACCTGGCAGCAGGCATGGCAGGAGGAGGGTACAGGGGCCCATGGCAGATTAGGGGCCTGGCAGCAGCTATGGGAGGCCCGTAATCTGCCAGCACCCTATGACAAAAAATGGAAACACACCAGCAGTGTGTGAGGAGACCTGAAAGTGGCACATGGCAGAGTGTGGCGATGGAGACAGCAGCAATGGGAGGCCGTACAGGGACCCATGAGAGACTCTGGACCTGGCAGCAGCATGAGGGAGGCGGTACAGGGGCCCATGGCAGATTAGGGGCCTGGCAGCAGCTATGGGGGCCCGTAATCTGCCAGCACCCTATGACAAAAAATGGAACACAGCAAAGTGCAGTGTGAGGAGACCAGTGAAGTGGCACATGGCATGAGACACTGTGGACCTGGCAGCAGCATGAGGAGGCGGTACAGGGGCCCATGGCAGATTAGGGGCCTGGCAGCAGCTATGGGAGGCCCGTAATCTGCCAGCACCCTATGACAAAAAATGGAACACACCAGCAGTGTGAGGAGACCTGAAAGTGGCACATGGCAGAGTGTGGCGATGGAGACAGCAGCAATGGGAGGCCGTACAGGGACCCATGAGAGAGACTCTGGACCTGGCAGCAGCATGAGGAGGCGGTATAGGGGCCCATGGCAGATTAGGGGCCTGGCAGCAGCTATGGGAGGCCCGTAATCTGCCAGCACCCTATGACAAAAAATGGAACACACCAGCAGTGTGAGGAGACCTGAAAGTGGCACATGTTTGGGGCATGATTCATGGCGGATTTAGTCAGTTGTGTCAGGAACTGGTGGTTTGAAATCCAGACTAATCCACGCCTGATTCATTTTCACAAACGTGAGTCTCTCCACACTTTGGGTGGACAGTGTGTCCTCCGCGAGTTTACAATACCTCCTGCCGCACTAAACACGCGCTCCGATGCCACGCTACTGGCCGGGCATGACAGCCTTTCAAGGGCAAATTCAGCTAGTTGGGGCCAAAGGTCAAGTTTCGTTGCCCAGTAGTCAAGGGGATTGTCTACCTCGGTTGGCAGGGTGCTGTCCAAGTAGGCCCAAGCCTGTTGTTTGAGGTCCTGCTCCAGGTCCACCTGATGCTGCTGCTGCTGCGGCTGGTTAGTAGTTTCCTCACTGCGCTGGTGAAGAAAGCTACTCATCATCGACTGCAGACTGAGGCAGCCGCTGCTGGTGGAGCTGCCACTGCTCCT